ATTATTGTTCTTCTTATTATTATTATTGTTATTATTATTATTATTATTATTATTATCATCATCATTATTGTTATTGTTATGATTATCATTATTATTATGAATATCATTATTATTATTATTATTATCGTTATTATTACTATTATGATTATCATTCTGATGATGATGATGATTATTATTATTATTATAATTAATTATTATTATTGTTATTATTATTATTATTATTATTATTATTATTATTATTATTGTTATTATTGTTATATCATCATTATATCGTTATTACATTATTATTATTATATAACTATTGTTATTAATATTATATCAATATATGAATGTTAATATTATATTAATTTTCTATTAATATATCACTGCCATCATTATTTTTATTGTTATTATTGTTATTGTTATAGTATTTTTTTTTATCATCACTGATATTATTATGATAACCATTTAACCTAATATGAGTAACATTCTTATTATCAATATCATTACTCTTATTACCATTAATATTGCATTTAGAATTGTCATTCTTATCATAGATATGATGTTTTATTATCATTTCATTATTAAGTTATTATTATCATTATCATTATTATTATAATAATAATGATAATAATAATAATAATAATAATTATTATTATTATTATTATTGTTGTTGTTATTATTATTGTTGTTATTATTATTATTATCATTATTATTATTATTATTAATATCATCATCATGATTTTTGTTTTATCATTATCATTATTATTATCATTATTGTTATTATTAACAACATTAAAAATATGACCATCACTATTATTATCATTATCATTATTTCCTTTTAGATTCTAACTTAACATTTTATTAGCAATAGGTTTTACTATTATCATTATGGTTATAAATATCTTTAATATCTCTATTATAATTTTATTAATGTTATTGCTATCCTTATTATTCGTTATTATACTGTGACCATTACTACTGGAAATGATACGACTATTATTATTATTATCATTATTATTATTATCATTATTATTATAACTATTATTAATGTTATTATCGTTATTATTATTATTATCATTACTATTATTACTATTATAACTATTATTTTTGGTATAATCATTGTTACTCATATGATGATTATTATTACTTCTCAGTGTCATTATCAGTGTTATTAAGTGGTGTTGCTTTCATAACAACCACATTATCAATATTATGTCTCCTATAATAATAATAATAATAATAATAATATAATAGTAAAATCATTGTAACAAAACGAATGAAAACTAATGCTATTAATAATGATACTGGCAAAGATAATATTAGTCATTATCATTATCATTGCTATTGTCATTATTATCAGTAATGCTACTATTATTATTACATTATTATTATAACCATGATTACCATTACTATTATTATCATCTTATTATAATCATTACAATTATTGTCATTATTATTCTATTATTCCTTATCATTTCTAATCTTTATCTTCTTCTCATCTTTGTCATCTTTTATTATTATTATTATTTTGGATCTATTCTTATCATTATTATTAATGGTATTATTGTTATTGTTACCATTACCAACATCGCTATTAACATTGTCATTCTTATTGGTATTATCTTTATAAACTTTTGGATATTATCATTATTTTTTTCATTTATTATCATTGCCAATATTATTGCTATTATTCTCAATATTAACAGGTATCATCATGCCATTATTATCATTGTCTTTTACTGTCATCTCTTTTTTTATTATCCTTATAATCATCATAACTATAAATATTAATTTTCATAAATCTTTATACAAACTTCAATATTTTCTTTAAGAACAACTTTCTAAAATCATTATTGGAAAAGACGCAGAAAATGATTGGAAGAAACAGTTTTGTATGAAAATGAACCTGCACGTGTGGGTTGGTTTGAGTGAATGTGATTTGAGAAAGAGCCAGACGCACACATATGCATAAGTGAGTATACATTTAATCATTGTTGCATGTAAATATATCTGTAGTGATTATATTCTTTATTCCCAATGCCATTTCATCATAAAGATATCATTTCATCATAAAAAAAAAAATCATCAATTTATATTTATGAAATAATCCTTACGATCAAGAAGAGATCAATTTTTTGTTTTGTTTTGTTTTTTTCTGTTATATATATATATATATATATATATATATATATATATATATATATATATATATATATATATATATATATATATATGTACATATATATATATATATATATATATATATATATATATATATATATATATATATATATATATATATATATATATATATATATATATATATATATATATATATATATATATATATATATATATATATATATATATATATATGTGTGTTTGTTTGTGTGTGTGTGTGACTGTGTGTGTGTGACTGTGTGAGTGCGTGTGTGTGTAAGTGTACAAATATATATATATATATATATATATATATATATATATATATATATATATATATATATGTATATATATATATATATATATATATATATATTTATATTATTCATATTCATATTTATATATATATATATATATATATATATATATATATATATATATATATATATATATATATATATATATATATATATGTATATATATATATATATATATATATATATATATGTATATATATATATATATATATATATATATATATATATATATATATATATATATATATATATATATATATATATGCATGTATGTATGTATATATGTTGTATCTATGTATCTCTCTCTCTCTCTCTCTCTCTCATATATATACATATACATATATATATGTACATATATCTATATATCTATCTATCTGTGTATATATATATATATATATATATATATATATATATATATATATATATATATATATATATATATATGTATATATGTATATATGTGTTTATGTATATATATCCACACATCAATCTATTTATCTATCTATCTATCTATCTATCTATCTATATCTATCTATCTATCTATCTATCTATCTATATATATATATATATATATATATATATATATATATATATATATATATATATATATATGTGTGTGTATATTATCTACATAATATTATTCTTATATACATTATATATATTCTAGTATTTT